AGCAAATTACAGCATCTCTTCCAACATCCGTTTTGGTCTTTCCTTTCTAAAGACTTTTACTTTCTTCATGGAGAATGTCATCCTACATCTTGTCTGGGCTTTGGTTATTAGTGTTTAATGTATCAAATTTTGAGACAGTCTCTAAATTTAGGTGGGATAAACTCAAGGTCATAATTTGGTTCTTATAAGTTTTTTTATGTTCAACCTGAACTTGCATGAGCAGTTGATGGTCTGTTCCAGTTCTTACGTTTCTCCATTGTCTATTCCTGCTGATGTAGTCAATTTGATTCTTGTGTAGTCTATCTGGTGTGCTCCATGTGTATATTCACCATTTAGGTTGTTAAGTAGGTATTTGGAATGACTAAGTCATTGGTGCTGTAAAACTCTATCATAGGATCTTTAGCATTATTTTGTTCACCAAGACCTATTTTCCAACTATCTGATCCTTACTGTTTATAACTTTTACATTTCAGTCACTATTAATTATAATGCATTTTGGTTGTGTTTGATTTATTCCAGACTTAAGTTGATAAAATTATTAAGTTTTTATTGTGTATTATGTGATACTTTACATGGGAGATCACCAGCTTTACATTCATCCCATCGTGTTTCGTTTCACTGCAATTACAATCCCCTCCATGCATCATCGAACCATGAAAAGGTACACCCCGCAAGCCTGCCGCCTGGCCATCAGCACAGTCCCTCTCCCTCCCTGAGTGAAGTTGATAGAATTATTGTTTCTTCACCACTGGCATTAGTGGTTGGTGTATAAATTTAAATAATAGTTCTATTAATGGGTCTTCCTTGTAGACACATAGATACTATCCTTGCACTTCAAGATACATCTTGAGATGTTCTTTTTTGATGACTGTGATGCCATCTCCCTTCAATATTTCATTCCTGGCATAGTAAATGATTGTTGCCCAATTAAAAATCATCAATACCAGTTCACTTAGCTCACTAATACCTAGGACTATTGACCCCTCATTTTCTATCTAGTATCTCACTCCTATTCCCCGCTGCAGTGCCTGCTACCAATTCCAAAGGCTCTGATAATTAACTTGTTTCTGAAATTTCACGGACCTTTTTACCCATTATGTGAGTACTTACCCATAGGTTCTTTCTAACTGAAAATTCATGGCATGACATTCTGGTTTAGGGAACATTTAAGTATTTCTTTGATAATTTCATCCCCACCATTCTCAAGAGAATCTGTTTCTTACCAGGGAGAAGTAGGGATAGTCACCCAAACTGCATTAGATGAAGTGCATACGTGAGGTTACCTTTTTCTTATACGTACACTTAGCTGACACTCTCCAGAACTCAGCCTCATCCTTTACCTCCTTTGTGGTGCTGATCCTTTTCTGGGCTCAGAAGGGCACATTGGCTCATTTTTTGTTAAAAACCACCTCTGCGGGTAGAGTCCAACTTCTCCAAGCCAATTTTTACTTACATCTGTTTTTCACTTTCCAAAGTGTTAGCACCTCTCATCCACTGTCACCTCCTGTTTTTGAGTCACATGCCTTTCTGAAATTTCCTTACTGATAGCTTAGTATATTTTGAGAAGGAGCAAAAAAGCCCATGTGCTTAATTCCATTTTGGCTCCCCTCAGTCCTTTTCCATGTTTTAAGCCATATAAACATCACAATTCTGTAAGGCCTCCTGTCAACCCTGGCTGGAAGTAAACTCTCCCTCCTAAAAATAGGTCACTTCTGATATTTGGTACAGATTAAAGGTACCTTACAGAACTGGAAAGGTCAGTGGTTCAAGCTCACCAGCTGCTCCTTGGAAACCCTATACAGGGTTGCTGTGGGTCGGAATCAACTCGACGGCACTTAACAACAAACAGTTATTGTATTTAACTGCCTGTTTAAGTCCATAAGGAGCCTTAGTGGTATAGTGGGTCAAGCATTAGGCTGCTAACTACAAGGTCAGCAGTTCAAACCTATAGGCAACTCCAGAGGAGAAAGAAGCAGTTTATTTCAGTAAAGATTTACACTCTAGGAAGCGCTATATAGCAGTGCTACTTGTCCTATAAGGTCCCTATGTTGTTGCTAAATGCCGAGTTGGTTCTGAGTCACAGAGACCCTGCAGTGTTTCTGAGGAGCAACTAACCTTCTGGTTCACAGCCCAGTGCTTATCCTCCAGCACAACTGGAGCCCATAAGGCAGCTATGGCAGTTATTAGGTCTCTAAGGAGCACTGGTATCATACTGGGTTATATACTTGGCCAACAACTGAAAGGTCAGTGGTTCAAGCCCACCAATCACTGCTCAGGAGCAAGAGGCAGTCAGCTTCAGTGAAAATTCAAACTAGGAAACCCTATGGAGCAGTGCTGCTCTGTCCTGTAAGGTCACTGTAAGTTGGAATTGACTCAACGGCATTGGTTTGGTTTGGGTTTATTAGGTGAATACCATGTTCTTCAAATGATTTCTAGGCACTAGATTCTGACAGTAGAAAGTTGAGATTTATGGAACAAGAAAATCAAATTAAGCCAAATGCTGATCAGCCTATCCACCCCCCACTCCCTTTAGAAATATCCAATATCTTCACACTCTCAAGCGAAGTATCCTCTTTCTCAGCTTAACTCTTTTCCACCCAACTAAATGACGAAGAGTCCTGGTGTGGCGCTGTGGGTTAATGCACTGGACTGCAAAGTTGGTTTGAACCACAAGATCAGTGGTTCAAACTCACCAGCTGCTCCTTGGGGACCATATACAGGGGTTGCTAAGCTCTGGTAATGTAGTAGTTACGAATTGGGCTGCTAATCTCAAAGTCAGCATTTTGAAACTACCAGTGGTTCCATGGGAGAAAGAAGAGGCTTTCTGCTCCTATAAAGATTTATAGCCTCGGAAACCCTGTGCAGGGTCACTATGGGTCGGAATCAACTTGATAGCACTTAACAACAACATGGGTTGGAACTGACTCAACAGCATGTAACAACAAATAAAGAAAAGCAACCATTTTATCTGTGATGCTTGGGAGGGTCACCTGTTACCACAGTGACATTTGCACTATAGGACAAGCACTGGACTCTGAGCTCCAAGGTTGGAGGTTCAGACTCACCAGCTGTTCCTCAGAAACCCTGTACAGGATCAAAATGAGTCAGAATGGATTTGACAGAGCATAACAACAAAGTGTCAATAGAGAAAGGGCTATATAAAGGGAACAGAGAGCTCTCAAGAAGACCACACAGAGGAGCATGTCTCATGGTTGTTAAGATGATACAATGAAGTGAGTAAAACTACAGCTCTAAAGTCTTACAGGTTAGTGATTTACCCTCTGTGAGGTTCAAGCTGCAATCTGAAAATAGGGATAAGATCCACGTCCTAGGGCTGTTGAGGGTTAAATAACACAATGCATGAAAACTATTTAGTAAAGTACACATCCTGGTATGGCGCTGTGGGCTAATGCGCCAGACTGCAAAGCTGTTTGAACTGCAAGGTCGGTGGTTCAAGCTCATCAGCCGCTCTTGGGAAACCCTATACAGGGTTGCTATGGGTCGGAATCGACTGGATGGCACTTAACAACATCACACAGTAAACATTCTCACATTAGGGGAAAGCCTTCCTGTATTCTCAAGATAGCAATTGTTGCCTTGGGTTTATATTTGCCCCTGGGGGCAATTTCCTTTTCACAGACACTGAAAATACTGAAGCAGAATCTTGGATTACAAGGCTCAACTCCTTACCTTGACCCCACAAGACTAATAGAACCTTGAGAAATTTCCCACAAGATGGAGAGTAACCCAGCTTCCTTGACAGTACTTGTCCTGTATCAGATGGAGAAGGCATGTTGAGAGGGGCCAGCAAGCTATACTGTGTTTTATAATATGTTTGGCATTATCATTCTTAATACTAAGTACTAAATCTAGCTGAAATGTGCTTGGACTAGGGACTTTTCTGGAAATAGGCTGTCCTACCACTCCAAGACCACACATTGGTCGACAGACAGTGGTAAGGATCTAGCTCCTCTACCATCCATAAGTCATGGTGTTGTTAAGTGTTGTTGAGTTGGTTTTGACTCATAGCAACCCTGTGTATGGTTTCAGAGGATTGGCTGGTGGGTTTGAAACACTGACCTTGTTGTCTGCAGCCCAGTGCTTAGCCTAAGGGCACCATAGTAGCACCTAGTGGCCATACCACCTAGGTTCTCTCCCCCAAACGGAAACCCCCATAAAAAACAAACTCACTGCCATTGAGTCCATTCTGACTTATGTAACTTATTGTAGGCTACTGTAGGCTAGGACTCCCGGTGTGGTGCTGTAGGATCAGCACAGGACTGTGAACCACAAGGTCAGCAGTTCAAACCCACCAGCTGCTCCTCAGAAACCCTATACCGGGGCACTGTAGTCGGAACCGACTCCACAGACCATAACAATTGTAGGATAAGTACTGGATTGCTAACCACAAAGTTAGCAGTCCAAACCCACCAACGGCTCTTCGGGATAAAGATGAGACTTTCTGCTCCCATAAAGATTTATAGCCTCAGAAACACTGGGTGGCTAAGAGTTGGTTGGAATCGACTCCATGGCAGTTATTATCATCATTAAACAGAACGAGAGTAGACCCTAGTGGTGGTGTGGGTTAGACATTGAGCTGCAACTGCTAGGTCAATGGTTCAAATCCAACTGCCGCTTCATGTGGTAAAGATGAGGTTGTCTGTTCCCATAAAGATTTCCAGTCTTAGAAACCTTATATCGGGTCACCATGTGTCAGAACTGACTGGACGGCAGTGGGTTTGGCTTCTGGTTTTTATAGAACTACTACTTTGGGTTTCTGAGACTGTAAAATCTTTATGGGAGCAGTCAGCCTCATCTTTTTCTCATGGAGCAGCTGGTGGGTTTGAACCGCCGACTTTGCAGTTACCAGCCCAACACTTAATCCACAATGCTACCAGGGCTTCTTTCTCTCTTCCCCAGGTGTTAAGGCTGCCATGTCAGGGGCTCAGAACTCTCTGGTCAGCCAGTCAGTAAGAATTGAAGACAAACCAAATACATTTCTCTGTTTTAATTATTAACAAATATAAGCAGCAAAGGAGGCCAGCTGGTCTCTCCTGTTCCCTAAGGGAAAGCCAGGGCACAAAGCTGTTCCTCTGGCCTTCCTCCAATGGCAGGCCTTGCCGAGCTCCTCCCTAGGCAGAGCTTTATTCCATTCCATCTTCCCTCACCCCAACTCCCCAGTTAGGATGGGAGGTACATGGCTACTAGTGGTGGGAAGAATACTGTAGTTCCAGTCTCTGCTCCTTCCAATTCTCAGCCTGGATGATAGTCACTTATCCTGCAAATAGCTCCTCACTTGCCCTGACCCAGGAGCCAGTAATGCCAGCGTGACTTCAGTCATCTTCCGATGATTCCTCTTCTGCCTCTTTCAGCCACTGGATGAGCCTCTGCAGCTGTAAAGGGATAAGGAGACAAGAGTGGAGAGCTACTGAGTGATGGGCATATAACCCTCCTGTTCAGCTGGGTGGGAAACTCCCTGGGATTCTGGGTGTTAAGGGTTAGGAACCAGAGTGGAGGTGAGAGGAGGGTTGTCTGACTTACCTGGTGATTCTTGCGCAACTGCTGGCCACTATCTGTGGTATCCCTTTGGTTGAACCAGCTCAGGATTGTTTCCTCAGCCAGGATCTCTAGCTGGTAAAACACCATCAGCACCTGCATAAGGTCACCAAAAGGGATCTCACAGGTCTTGCAAAACCCAGCTAGATATACTGGAGAACAGAGGAAGAGGAAGCAAGATCTTAGCACCTCTTGGTCCATAGCTCCCTTCCACACTGAGCAGCCTGCTCCCAAACAAAAGTGGACTGTTCTTTCTGGTACTGAAGTTCCAGGCCAATCCCTTAACGGGTGCCTTGCTAGCCTGGCTGCAAGCTGCACTTTCTAGCAATAATCTTGTTATCAGGGGTGTATGGTGCTCTTAACTAAATACCATACTGGGTTCATGTTAATCTGTGTTGGGTCTCCATGGGGTCATCAATGCCTGTTTCAAAGCAAAAACAGGACTACGGGACATGAGGTAGCATTCACCTTGGCCAGGGAAGTACTAAGAATTTCATGCTCTAGGAAGAAGTCCTCGATGGCTGCCAAGGCTTCCAAATGGTCTGCTGCACGTTTTATGTAGTTCCTAAATACAGGGCTCCAGGCTTTGAGCAGCTATGGCAGAAAGGAGAAAGAAATGGCACTACCCTCCTGAACATGGTCCTCCAATAAGATTCTCAAGGTATGGAGACAGTAGCCACAAGTAACACATGCCCCACAACATGATTTGTTTTACAGTCAAGTACAGCAATGTGTAGCGTAGTGGTTACCAATCAAGCTGCAAACCTCAGGGTCAGCAGTTTGAAATTACCATCTGTTCCACGGGAGAAAGATGAGACTTTCTGTTCCCGTAGAGATTTACAGCCTCAGAAACCCTGTAGAGGGTCGCTATGAGTCAGAACCAACTCCACGGCATGTAACAACAAGAACAGCAATGTCTGTCTCCAACCCCACCCAACCCTTTGAACCCAGTCCAATCTGCTCACTGGAAGCAGCAGGGCAGAGTAGTGGCTTGGGTCAAGTGAAGAGCCCATTTGCTGCAAGGGGAACTCCAGGACCACGTGGATCAGCACCTGCATCACTTCCTTTAGGCTTATATTGTAGGCATACCTGTGGAGAGAGCAGGGTAGTACCAGGACCTTCACTGGCTACTGGACTTTCAGTATGCTATAGGACCATGACTTCAGCAGGACACGGAGGGATCGAAGTCAAATAGAACTAGACATTTTAGGAAGGGGAAGGCCTATGCTGAGGCTAGAATCCATGTCCTTGTTGATCCAAATGTTACTGGCCTCATCTACCTAGGACATGGAGGAAAACAGGTTTCTATTTGGGGAAGAAACACTTAGCAGAGAACCTCTCCCTGTCTGGAGTTCCCCTGAGGAACAGAACACGGAATGGCTATTCTTACTTGAGAGAGTTGATTTCCAGGACTAGATTGTCACAAGAAATGTTCTCCTCCTTGCCCCGCTGTAGTGTTCCCAGGACTTCATTCTGGAACACTGGAACCGAAGCAAGAAAAGTTCACGGGTTAGCATTACTCCAGAATGTTCCAAATTACTTTGACTTCATACCAATCTCTTTTTGGGAGGAACACAAATCTTTGGCTAGTTAATTCTAGCAAACAATCAACTGGGGGTTTTCCTCCTAGGACACTACACCCTTTGGCCTCTAACCTTTGATGTCATCCATCTGTGGGGAACCAGTCTGGCTGTCCAGCTCTTCAGAGTCCATACTTCGCTCACTTTCAGTTTCACTCTCTTCTTCCATGCTGATTTTAAGTCCTGGGAACCCACCGAAGGTGAAGAAAAAGAAAAGTTAAGGAAAGAGCCATTGATAAAGAACAATGTCTTGTCTTCACGACTAGAAGAATGAACAGGTAATGTGATTCTGAGGTAGCCATTACCCTTCAAAATATTCAGATTCAGATGAAACAAAAAGTTAAAAAAAATTCTGATTCCGGTTGAAGAGGATGCCTCACCCCATAGATTTTGCTGTAGTTCCTCCTCTTCCTCCATGTTGATTTCTACAGCTTTCCAGAGGTAGCCCTGGCCTCCCACTCCTACCTCTGCTGGATTGTAACCTAAAAAAGGCACCCATCTTTAGGGAAGGCCCAGCAGAAGCACCAACCTCTCCAAGAGGAAACACTGGATTTTCTATGCAGCAAAGAAACATACAGATGCCCCACACCTGTTAAGTATCACACCTTTCAGCTTCACGTTCTCTTTTTCTTGGTCAGCCCCAGAATCATCACTGAACTGGCCATCATCCTCATCTTCCTCTGCATCTGGCGGGTGCAAAGAGATCACCGAACCCTCAGGCAACACGATGTCTGGGCCCACTATCACCTAAAAAAAGTATTAGGCGACAAGACCCATTAGCTTGTTGAGGAAAGGTACACACTGACAATGAAAGCAACTATTTTTCACTAAGCCAAGTAGAAGGCAAAAGAAATCACTGATTTGGATACCCCATTCAGGTTGGGTTATGGCCGAAACAAGGTCCCCTATAGCTTAACATGAGCATCGCTCACTTTCGGGCCTGTGTGAAGTGTGGAGCGGGGCTCACCTGGGTAGTGAGGACACAGTGTGGCTTCAGTGTAACTCGTTCCTTGACCTCAGCATTGTCACAGAGCAGAGACCGATGGATCTGTGCTCCAGCAGCCACGCGGACACCCTGCCACAAGTAGGCCTGATCCAGCACCACGTTATCACCTGGCTCAGGATAGGAAGGACTCCTGGTCACACAAGCCCCAACGCCAGACCAGAGCCTCTCATGGAGAACTGGACTGACATCAGCTCCCACCCCATCCTTAATTCATCAAAAACTTCCTCTTCCTTTCTAAGAACAACTCATTGTGTGGCTTGACTGTCCTCCACCAGGCTTACAATAACTACAGACTGTACAGGACCTAAGAACCTATGAGAGCTGGGATCCCTCCACTTAATAACCTCATTAGAATCATTCTATGATTCTATATCATCTAGTACATTTTAGAAGAATCTTAGCAATCTTTGTAAGGAAAGTACCATCAGAAGCAGTGAGTTATTATCTAGGCAGTTCTGGCAGAGTGCAAAGAACACTGGATTTATAATCAGAATGCTGCTGTTGTTAAGTGTCATTGAGTAGGTTCCAACTTATAGTGACCCTGTATAGGGTTTCCCAGGAGCAGCTGTTGAGTTTGAACAGATGACCTTGTGGTTCGTAGTCCAGTGCTGGTCCTACAGTGCCACACCAGGAGTCCACAATCAGAATACTTAGGTTAAAATCTCAGCACTGCTCTTATTAGCTACATCCTTAGGCAAGACCATCTTTCAAGTCTGTCTGCTTATCTATAACTTGGGGATACATAATACTGACCTCATTATCATTTTTGGGAGGACTAAATGAAAATAATGTACGGAAAACCCTTATACACTAAAATGCACTAAATATCTGTTATTATTATATGTTAATACTTGGCCCTGAATGTGAATATAGGGGTGTCCTGGAATGTGAGGAAGTCATCCAATAACAGTGTCACAGGTCACAAATGAGGGGAATCATTGTTTTCAAATTCTGGTTCTTTCCTTTCTTGAAACAGCCATTCAACTCCTTATTTCTACAGACTACTCTGTGCATCTTTGTTTCTGTGGACACAGGGCTCCCAGGGTCTTGCTTCTAGGATGGCCGGCTTGACTTCCCCATCTCTGCTCACCAATGTGGCAGCCAGGGCCAATGACACTGTTGGTGATGGAGCAATTGCTGCCAATGACAGTGCCAGAGCCCAACAGCACGTTTTCCTCCAGAATGCTGCCACGGCCCAGGCTGACCTCCGACCCTCGGTAGATGTTGTGCCGAGAATGAGTGCAGCTCTGGATGCTGCTGTCAGTGAAGTTTGCCTCTGGTGTGAGAGGATAGACCCATCGACGGATGACATCAGCGCTGACAGCTGCATACATGTGTAAGTTGGAGACTCGGGCGCCATATTCCCTAGTTGTTATGTGCATATGGATCTGGTTCCCTAGGATCTGAGTGAGGAGAAGGAAAGGGAGATTGCCCATGTGAATGAAAGAGGAAGACAGTCCAAGGTACAACACCTTTCTAACCCTCTTAAGTTCTCTTTGTCGCTACTGGTTATAGCCAAATGGCCAGAGACTTTACTTTGTATACTGCTTTCCCCTTGGCATCTCTTTCCTCCCACAACGGAGCACAAAGTTACTAGCATAAGACCAAACCTCACCCTCTCCTACTCTCTGGAAGAGATATTACGAGACTTTTCTTACCTCCTCATTCACTAACAGGCCTCGCACAAAGTCATCTCGAGTCTGATAGTCAAAGTTGTCTGTAAAGAGTTGAGCCACCTGTAGGTAAGAGGACAGGACCAAGGTTAAATGTATTCTTTGGAGGCAAAGAGAAGTCCCCAAAGAGCTATCAAAATCTGTGACAGTTTGATATAGACAGACTCCCAATGGGATATTTGGGGAAAGATGACAATAAATGCTCTTTTTGTTTTAAAGTAGATAAGGAAAAGGAGAAAAACTATATACTGGCTTTCTAAGCGGCAATAATACCTTCTCAGAACTCTAGTCTTTGGATGTGTGGTTCTACACCTAAACAGCTTACCTGAGGAGAGCAGATGCTGATATGACAATCCAGTAAATCATAGCGAATCTCCACCCCATCTCCACTGCCTTGGAACAAGCTCTGTGAGGAGAAATTACAAGGACTTTAACAAGTCTCTCCTGCTGAAGCCTGTCATTTTCCTACCTTAAGAATCCCAGAGACCCACACACCAGAGGAAAAGAAAAACGCCGGAGGCCTTGGGTCTTCTGGAAGTGGAGAACCCTGTTTGTGGCACTATCCACAGCCACTACCACACTGTCTTCAGGGCAACGAGTTGGGTGACTGGGTGATGACTCCTTGAAGATCATTGTCATCACGGATACATTTTTTTCTAGCTTCCGTCTCAACCTATAAAGGTTAGGAAGAGAGTTATAAAAAGGCAGTTTAACAAATGTATTGGTCCCTTGCACTAGCCCTTAACATTTTGCCTTCCTGACCTGTGCTCTTCTAGGGCTCTGGTAATATTGATGTTTGAGACGACATCCCCATACACCAGAAGGAAGTCTGAGCGCACCAAGGCCTTGGCATCAACATCACGGAGAACATCCCCCAAAGATCGATATAGGTCAGATGTAATTATCCGAACCACATTGAGGGATGTAGGGCGGCACCACTTGGATCTCCTAAAGAAGGGGAGTGAAAGGAATGAGTAAATCAAGCAAAAAGGTCAAGTGGGCCTTCTTTATTTTTATTCCCTAGTCAACGTACATACTCCTTTCGCTATGGCTTTTTGGGGCTCCTGCCAGCGTCCTCAACTTCAAAGACATTTATAAGCTATAATTAATGCTTTTAGCTCCCTGTGTCACCAGTCACGTTGTATAGGTTAGAGAGACATGGTCATTTCCTCTCTACACCTTCACCCTTATTCTTAAACATGAACTTGACCTTGAAATTCTGCTGAGACATGGGACATACAAAATATCTTGGGAACACAATTTTTCACACTGCATTTCCCCCTCAAAAGTCCACACCATCAGATATGAATTGTCTGATGGAAACCATCTTAGCCTTTATTTCCTAAACTTGCATAAATACTGGAATTCACTCTTTTTAAAGAAAATTTCATCAAGTATCTGTTAAGTGCTTGGTACTAAGCTAGACAGTGGGAACACAGAGATAAGAAGAGCTCATTCTTGCCCTCAAATAGCAGAACAGATAAAATTTTAAAACTCAATGGAAAAACAAAGGCATGTTAAGCTTGTAACTTCTATATTGGAACTATTCAATAAAAAGCAAAACCCACCAGGCTCAAACTTTATAACAGAGCTTTAGAAAACACCCAGGTGTTGTTCCTTAATATTGTTCCAAAAACCACAAGATGCACTAATATAGGGCTTTATATGCACAGTTCCTCATAAGTGAAAACAAAACACCAAAAAACCCTAAGACTTTCTACTGTGATCAAAACAGACACACTTTCCCTTCAGAATTTCCACTTAGTTACATTTATCCTAAGAAAAATGAAAAAAAAAGATGGTGAACCACAGAAAGGGTCTTACAGTAAATGTTCCTTGATTTGAGCAGCCTTCCAGCAACAGAAGATGAAGGTTTCCTGTACACCTGTGGCAGTCAAGAATTCCAGAGTATAGTCAATTAGTGCCACATTGGCCAAGGGCAAGAGGACCTGAAGGGCAACAGATGAAAAAAATTTGAGGTACCACCCTTTCCCCCATTGCAACCACAATTTTCACTCTTTTATCAACGTTCCCAAACACTATAATTTGGCTTTATATGTTTGCAAACATTGCATAGTCTAAGCATTAGTCTAAGATGATGCAATTTGGACACAGTAAGCATGGAATCTGTAGGATAGGTACTGGTCTGTGATCCAAAAGGTAAGTGTTTGAGGCCACCAAACTACCACTCCCGCAGAGAAAGATGAGGCTTTCTGCTCCCACAAAGATTTACAGCTTTGGAAATCCTATACAGAGTCACTGTGAGTTGGAAACGACTCAATGGCACTTAACATGCATGGCATCTGCTTGCCTAGCACTGAACAAAGTGCAAAACATAATACTAAAAATCAATCACCTCTCTAGAAAAGTAGGGTCTTCCTCCCATAAAATTATTTCCCTTGATTCCCCCTTCTAAGAGTCAAGGGTTGTTGCTGTATAGGGTTCCCGAGGAGTGGCTGGTGAGTTTGAACTGCCGACATTTCGGTTCAAACTGACCTCGTGGTCCAGCACATTATCCTGCAGCGCTACTAGACACCTCCAATCAGTAATCAAACAACGAACAGTCACTCGGCCTTTTGGTGTTGGAGAAGGAGGGGTATAGAGAGGATTACCTTTAAACCCAATGGAGTTCCCACTTTCACTGAACTGGGGGGCTGCGGTGTGACACTGAAATTCCCAGGACTAGCTCAGTCCAATTCCTCATTGTCTAGACAATACAAAGGCTGCTAGTAAGCAGCTACTAAACCCTTTCTGATCTTCTTTTAACAGGTGGCACTGCCTGTCATTAAAATCTGGGTGGCAAAAAAGCACATTGCACGAAATACAAAACAGCTGCTGCGATGGGACCAGACCGCACTGCCCTTTTGTAAGCACCTGATCTCTCTTTCAAAAGGTGATGCTCCCTTTCACCTAGCTTTCCTCTACAAAATGAAAGGCGGCAGTGCAACCTTCTCTCGGACCTTTGAATCCCCGTGTGAGGGTGTCTCACAGGCACTGCTTCTACATTCAGCCCTCTTTAATTCTAACAAACCTGAGGACATCGTTGCCCAAATCTGCCAGCCTCCCACATGGTCAGGCAGTTATCAACAATTTAGAGGGTTCCTCTGCCTTTCCTCCTACCCAGATAAACCACATTTCAGGGAAAGACAGTGGGCAGAAGATCCTTCCAGAGCCGAAAGGAGAACTTGCTCCAGCCCCGCCACCTTCGGGCCCTCTAACTGCTCTCCACTGGGCTCACCCGAGGCTGGTCCTTGGAGATGGGGAAGAAGCGGCGGTTGAAGCTATCAGCCACCAGAACTGCTTGTAGGGGCGGCGGCGGTTCCTCCTCTACTCCTCTGGCTCCTCCACCACCGCCTCCGCCACCTCCCGGCCCGCCGCCACCACGCTTGTTGCCCCGACTGGCCACGGTAACAGCTGGTGCCACCATAGTGGCCGCCATCTTCTTCTTTCACGGTTCCCACTTCCGCACGGAAACTGCCACCGCACGCAGTAGGGGACAAAAAGGGCTCTGCACTTCAAATGCGAAGGACTAACTACGAGAAATCGGAGAGACAGAGAAGAGTGCGCATGCTCCTCCGCTGGCTGCCCTCCCGAAGTCGGGGCAGGGAGGCTAGAGGACAGGGGTGGGGCCGCGGCTGCTTTGACCCGTGGAGGCGTAGGGCGGAGGGTTCCATGACGTCAGACGCAGTCTGCAAATATTACAGTTCTTCGTTTATGTGAGAACAAACAGGTATTCTTGCAGCATGATGGGACTTGTGGTCGCTGTGAAGGAACCAGGTCCATCAGGGATAGTAGTGATCTTCCTGCAGTTACCCAACATGTGAAAATTGTTGACCTGCATAGTCATTCTTGTTATCTAATGTACGCTGTAGGATAAACACTGGACTAACTGCAAGGTTGTCGGTTCAAACCCACCAGCTGCTCCTTGGCAACCCTATATAGGGTCGCTATGAGTCTGAACCAACTCACCGGCACTTAATAACAACAAAACAATTATTATTCCAGCCCAGCACCGTGGGAATCGCGAACTGAGTCACACATCCCGCAAAGAACTAAAAGTCTACGTAAATACAGAACCTGACATAGTTGTTAAATGCTGTGGAGTTGATTACAATTCATAGCGATCCTGTATAGGGTTCCCGCCACCACTCGTCTGTTAGTTTGTGTGGTGGCTTACTTGTTGCTGTGATTCTGGAAACTATGCCACTAGTATTTTAAATACCAGCAGGGTCGCTCATGGTGGACTAGTTTCAGTTTAGCTTGCAGACTAAGACAGATTAGAAAGGAGGGACAGGTTACTTCGGAATATTTAGTCACTGAAAACCCTATTAGTAGCAGAACACTGTCAACACCAGAATATTAAATATTGAAACATGATGAAGAACATCAGAATATTATCAGACATAGTGTGGGAAGATGAGGCACTCAAAATTCACCTGGGGAAGAGCTGCCGCCTCAAAGTAGAGTTGACCATGATGAATGACAAGAATGGAGTAAAGCCCTTGGGATCCTCATTTGCTGATGGGACACAACTCAAAACGAGGAGAAAACTGCTGTAAACATTAATTAATAATCAGAACATGGAATGTATGAAGTATGAATTGATGAAAATTGGAAGTTGTCAAAAAAGAAATGGAACACATAAACATTGATATCCTAGGCATTAATGAGGTGAAACGGACTGGTATTGGCAATTTTGAATCAGACAATCACATGGCTATTATGCCAGGACTGACAGACTGAAGCAGAATGGCATCGCAGTCATCATGAAAAAGCACGTTTAAAGATCTGTCTTGAAGTACAACACTATCTATGGTAGAATAATATCCATATGCCTACAAGGAAGACCAGTTAATATAACTATTATTCAAATATACACACCAACCACTTAAGCCAGTGATAATGAATTTGGAGAATTCTACCAACTTCTTCAGTCTGAAATTGATCAAACATAATCAAGGTATATGAATAATTACTGGTGATTGGAATGCCAAAAATGGAATAAAAAGAGGAAGGATCAGTAGTTGGAAAATATGACTTTGGTGAAAGATACGATGCTAGAGATCCAATGATAGAACTTTGCAAGACTAATGACTTGTTCATTGCAAATACTTTTTTAAAAGAACATGAAAGACAAGTGTACACATGAACCTCACCAGGAGGAATAACAGAAATCAAACTGACTACATCTGTGAAACGAGATGGTGGAAATGCTCCATATCATCAACTTAAACAAGGCCAGGGTAGATTGTGGAACTGACCATCAATTGCTCGTATGCAAGTTAGACTGAAGCTGAAGACAAGTAAAACAAGTCTACGAGAGCCAAAATATGACCTTGAACATATCCCACCTGAATTTAGAGATCATCTCAAGAACAGATTTAATGAATTAGACACTAGTCAATTGTGAGACGACATCAAGAACATCATACAAAAGAAAGCAAAAGGTCATTGAAAGACAAGAAAGGAACAGAAGACCAAAATGGATGTCAGAAGAGACTCTGAAACTTGCTCTCCAGCAGAGAGATGCTAAAGCAAACAGAAGAAGTGAGGAGGTAAAAGAGCTGAACCGAAAATTTCAAAGGGCAGTTCAAGAAAACAAAGTAAAATATTATAATGAATTGTCCAAAGACCTGGAGTTAGAAAATCAAATGGGAAGAACAAGTTCAACATTTCTCAAGATGAAAGAACTGAAGAAAACATTCAAGCCTTACCTTGCAATATTGAAGGATTCTATGGAAAAAATATAGAATGATGCATAAAGCATCAAAAGAAGATGGAAGGAATACACAGAGTCACTGTACCAAAAAAGAAATGGTTGATGTTCAGCCATTTCAAAATGTAGCATATGATCAAGAGCCAATAATATTGAAGGAAGAAGTCCAGGGTACACTAAGGGCACTGGCAATGAATAAGGCTTCAGGAATTTATGGAATACTGATTGAATGTTTCAGCCAACTGAGGCAGCACTAGAGATCCTCATCTATGCCAAGAAATTTCGAAGAATGATACCTGACTAACTGATTGGAAGAGATCCATATTTATGCCTATTCCAAAGAGAGGTGACTCAATGGAATGCAGAAACCATTGGACAATATTATTAATATTCTATGCAAGTAAATTTTTGCTAAAGGTAATTAAAAAACATCCGCAGCAGTACATTGACAGGGAGATACCAGAGGTTCAGGATGGATTCAGGTGGGGACGTGGAATGAGGGATATCATTGCTGATATCAGATGCATCTTGGCTGAAAACAGAGAATACCAGAAAGATGTTTACCTGTGTTTTACTGACTAAAGACTTTCGGTTGTGTGGCTTATGACAAGCTATGGATAACATTGCGAAGTATGAGCATTCCGGAACATGTAATTGTGCTCATGTACATAGGAACCTGTACATAGGTCAAGTGGCAGTCATTCAAACAGAACAAGGGAACAATGAATGATTTAAAATCAGGAAAGGCATGTACCAGCATTGTATTCTGTCACCATACTTAATCACTCTGTATGCTGATCAAATAATCTGAGAAGCTGGATTATATGAACAAGAAGATGGCATCAGGATTGGAGGAAGACTCAAACAAACTGCAATATGCATATGATACAACCTTGTTTGCTGAAAGTGGAGAGAAGTTAAAATACTTGCTAATGAATATTAAGGACTATAGTCTTCAATATGGGTTGTACCTTAATGTAAAGAAAACAAAAATCCTCACCACTGAACCAATAAATAACATCAACATAAATAAAGAAAAGATTGAATTTGTCTAAGACTTCATTTTGCTTGGATCCACCATTAACACTCATGGATGCAGCAGTAAGAAATCCAATGATATTTTGCATTAGGCAAATCTGCACAAGACCTCTTTAAAGTGCTCTACAGCAAAGATGTCAATTTGAGGACTAAGATGCACCTGACCCAAGCCATGGTATTTTCAATAGCCTCATCTGCATGTGAAAGTTGAACAATGAATAAGGAACACTAGAAGAATTGATGCATTGAGTTATATTGGAGGAGAATAGTGAAAGGACCATGGACTTCCAGAAGAACAAACAAATCTGTGTTGGTAGAAGTACAGCCAGAACACTTCTTAGAAACCAGGATGTCCAGACTTTGCCTCTCATATTTTGGACATACTATCAGGAGGGACAAGGAGCTCTGGTAGCGTAGTGGTTACGAATTGGGCTCTGAACCGCAAGATCAGCAGTTTGAAACTACCAGCTGCTCCGCAGGAGAAAGATGAGGCTTTCTGCTCCCGTAAAGATTTACAGCCTCGGAAACCCTGTTCAGAGTCGCTATGGGTCGGAACTGACTCGACGACACTTAACAACAAAAACAACATCAGGAGAGACCAGTCCCTGGAGAAGGATATCATGCCTGGTAAAGTGAATGGTAGTGAAAAAAAAGGTAGATCCCCAATGAGATGGATTGGCACAGTGGCAGCAGCACTAGGTTCAGGTGTAGCAATATGAGATTGTGAGATTGGCACAGGACCAGGCAGTGTTTCGTTCTGTTGTACATAAGGTTACTATGAGTTGGTACTCAGTCTACAGCACCTAACAACAGCAACAATAGGGTTTCCAAGGAGCTGCTGGTGGGTTTGAACCACCATCCTTGCAGGTAGCCGTCCAGTCCTTATCCTACAATGCCACACTAGTAGTAGAAAACAAAACTAAACCCCAAACCAGTTACCTCTCAGTGAATTCTGCCTCAAGATGATCCCATGTGTGTCAGAGTACAACTGTATTCTATAAGGTCTTCAATAACTGTGAACTTTAGGAAGTAGATCACCAGGTCTTTCTTCCTAGACACCCCTGATGACTTTGAGCTGCCAACGTGATTAGTAGCTGAGTGCTTAGTTATTTGAGCCACCACATAGTGAGAATAGTAATTGTATTTAAAGAGTTGTTGTTGTTAAGTGTCGTGAAGTTGGTTCTGACCCATAGTGACCTGTATAGGGTTTCCAAGGAGTAGCTGGTGAGCTTGAACTGCAAAGCTTGCTGTTCAAAGAGACTTTGCAGCGTCACACCAGGTTTAAAGAATAGGCCAAGTATATTATGACTGTTATTTGGTTTAATTAGTCACACATCTCAGCAAGACATCTTACTCATTTGTTCAGCAAACATTTCTTAAGCTGTCAGTAGAGTGAAAAAGTTCACTCATTAAATGAATGAGCTGGTGTGAATAGTTATGATTTTGTGTTAACTTGGCTGAGTCAGGATTCTCAGTGGTTTGGCAGTTAAGATGTGATAATCTCCCATGATGAGATCTGCTATGAGCAGCTGATCAGTTAAAAGGAGTATGCCCTGCTCCTAATATATGTAGGTGCTGTGGAAAAACTTTTGGTTTTCATGGGGTCTGGATCCTGCAACTGGCTCCTTATCTGGCTTCGTTTCTTCAGATTTAAGCCATCGGCCTGCCTATTGACTGTAGGTCCTGGGAGTTGACAGCAGCCTGCCATTTTACCTGCTGATCTTGGATTCATTGGTCTCTACAGCCAGCAATCTTCTGTCTAACCTGCCATCTTGGGTT